ATCTCGGAAAGTACATGGAATTTCGGAGTGAACTTTGGTAGTAAAGTAGAGTGATTATATATGAATAGATAGGAATAGAAAGTAAAACTCTTGAGCATTCGATTTAAAAGTATTTTATTAGCGAAAGTGGGTACCCTATGAAAGGAGTTCCATACCTTTATCTTTTTTTATACACCCCGATTTTTAGCTCTACTGGTCAGAGACCAGAAGAGCTTATGCGATAGTAAGGTGTCCGTCGTCCGTCCGTCTGTCTGTCTGTCTGTCTGTCTGTCTGTCTGTCTGTCCGTCTGTCTGTAAACAATTTTTCAAAACGCTACTCCTCCTACAGTTTTGGTCCGATTTCAATATAACTTGGCACACAAGTAGACTACACTAAGATACATAATTTAGTGCATCGGTTTTTGATTTCGATGGACGGTGTTGCCATGGTTACTAAAAATAGAAATTTCTGTGAAATTCCTTTAAAACGCTACTCCTCCTACAGTTTTAGTCCGATTTCAATATAACTTGGCACAGAAGTAGACTATACTAAGATACATAATTTAGTGCATCGGTTTTTGATTTCGATGGACGGTGTTGCCATGGTTACTAAAAATAGAAATTTCTGTGAAATTCCTTTAAAACGCTACTCCTCCTACAGTTTAGTCCGATTTCAATATAACTTGGCACACAAGTAGACTACACTAAGATACATAATTTAGTGCATCGGTTTTTGATTTCAATGAACGGTGTTGCCATGGTTACTAAAAATAGAAATTTCTGTGAAATTCCTTTAAAACGTTACTCCTCCTACAGTTTTGGTCCGATTTCAATATAACTTGGCACACAAGTAGACTACACTAAGATACATAATTTAGTGCATCGGTTTTTGATTTTCGATGGACGGTGTTGTCATGGTTACTAAAAATAGAAATTTCTGTGAAATTCCTTTAAAACGCTACTCCTCCTACAGTTTTGGTCCGATTTCAGTATAACTTGGCACACAAGTAGACTACACTAAGATACATAATTTAGTGCATCGGTTTTTGATTTCGATGAACGGTGTTGCCATGGTTACTAAAAATAGAAATTTCTGTGAAATTCCTTTAAAACGCTACTCCTCCTACAGTTTTGGTCTGATTTTAATATAACTTGGCACACAAGTAGACTACACTAAGATACATAATTTAGTGCATCGGTTTTTGATTTCGATGAACGGTGTTGCCATGGTTACTAAAAATAGAAATTTCTGTGAAATTCCTTTAAAACGCTACTCCTTCTACAGTTTTGGTCCGATTTCAGTATAACTTGGCACACAAGTAGACTACACTAAGATACATAATTTAGTGCATCGGTTTTTGATTTCGATGGACGGTGTTGCCATGATTACTAAAATTAGAAATTTCTGTGAAATTCCTTTAAAACACTACTCCTGCTACAGTTTTAGTCCGATTTCAATGTAACTTGGCACACAAGTAGACTACACTAAGATACATAATTTAGTGCATCGGTTTTTGATTTCGATGGACGGTGTTGCCATGATTACTAAAATTAGAAATTTCTGTGAAATTCCTTTAAAACACTACTCCTGCTACAGTTTTAGTCCGATTTCAATGTAACTTGGCACACAAGTAGACTACACTAAGATACATAATTTAGTGCATCGGTTTTTGATTTCGATGGACGGTGTTGCCATGGTTACTAAAAATAGAAATTTCTGTGAAATTCCTTTAAAACACTACTCCTGCTACAGTTTTAGTCTGCTTCTAATATAATTAGGCATACAAGAAGACTATACTAAGATACATAATTTATTGCATTGGTTTTTGAATTCGATGAACAGTGTTGCCATGGTTACTTAAAATAGAAATTTCTGTGAAATTCCTTTAAAACGTTACTCCTCCTACAATTTTGGTCTGATTTCAATCTAATTTGGCACACAGTTAGAATACACTACGATACATAATATGTATTTCTGTTTTTTTTTATTTGGGTGAGTGGTGTTGTCATGGTTACCGGTACTAAAAATAGAAATTTCCGTGAAATACTTTCAAAACGCTACTACTCCTAGTTTTCATTTGTCATAATGATTTCAATATAACTTGTCACAAAAGTAGACTACATTAAGATACATAATTCTATTTATTGTTGCATGTTGCAATGTTTCAAATCCAAGTGCTACTTTTCTTTTGTTATACAAACAGACCAGTAGAGCTACAGTCTCATCAGAGACTTCTGGTTTTAAAGTCGGATTTAAGCGATCTAAAGGCCTGTGCTAGTAAATCAATCATACTAAATTGTATATATAGTCATTCTATATGCAGCTTTATGATACAAAAATGTCATTATGCATGCATATTTTTAAAATTTGTCATTAAGAAATAATGTATCATTTTTAAACATCTATCGGGATATAAATACGGGTTGGTCACGAGATCAAATTCGATGAAGCCCAAAGGGATTTATGGTAAATTTGATCTCGTACCAACCCGTATTTATATCCCGATATATGTTTAAAAATGATACATTATTACTGATATTTACATTTAGGACTTATTTATATTTTATATTTTCCTGATTATAATCTTTAATGCTTGAAATGTTTTATGTTTTAAACTCAACAGCATTCTTCACAGTGGTTGCAGATACTGAAATGAAATTTGGTATACAGATTTATTATATTGAATACTGTAAAAGTAGAAACATTTATTGAGGATTTACTTTCATTTATTTTGTTGTTAACACTAATCAATGAAATCAACCCACATGAAATTTTATATGACTACTTAACCAGTAGGGTTGCATTCGTAACAACAAAATTTAATGTATAGTATATAGTGAAATATGTTTTTTCTTTTAGATATTCTTTTTCTTGCTCCTGAGTATTAAAGAGACTTGGACACAGATGTGAGATTAATGTTTCTTTAATATTTTTTGTATAATATCATGAGTGATATAGAACATTGATTACATTGCATAACATTATTTAAACAAGATGTGTTTGTGAAACACTGATGCCCCAGTATGGCAGCTTTTAGTGAAGGTTAAAGTTTCTCAAATGCAAGTCAAACTTCAAGGTCAAGAGATGAAAAATGTTTTACTCAAATCAAGGAATTGTCTCAATAATAATACCTGTGAAATATAAAGGCCCAAGCACCAATCATTCAAAAGTTATGGGCAAGATTAAATGTTTAAAAATGTGGGTCAGACTCCAAGTTGAAGGTCGAAGGATCAAATAATTAGTTTCCAGGGCACTAAAAATATACATGGGAAATATTTAAGTGCTAGCAGCAACTGTTCAAAAGATATGACCAAGGTGAAGTTTTTCAAAAGTAGATAAAATTTCAAGGTCAAGGTCAGAAGGTCAAAATCATTGGTATCAAAATGAAGGTCTTGTCACAAGGATTACGTCTGAGAAATATGAAGGCCCTAGTACTTACTCTTCAAAAGTTACGGCCAAGGTCAAAGTTTTTTTAAAAGTGGTTCAAACTCAAAGGTCAAAGTCAAACATGTTTGTACCCAAAGAAAGGTCTTCTCAAAAAGAATTCACATTTGAAATATGAAAATCATAGCTCCAACGAATCAAAAGTTATGGGCAAGGTTAAAGTTTTTGCGGACAAATAGACAGACAGAGGGACGGACAGGTATATACACCCGAACCTTCAATTACGGGGGCATAGGGTTAAATAAACGTTTGTGTAAGCAATCTTTAATTTTTTTTTTTATTTTCAATAGGATCAAGTAAGGCAATGGAGTCAGACATGGCAGCAAATATGTTAAGAAGGCTGAAAGAGGATGATTTTGATATACATGCCATTCATGCTGACAATGACTCCACAACCACTGCAAGACTAAAAACCGAATTCAACCACCTGGAAAAAAGATGTGACAAATACCACTTGAAAAAAAAACATTTCAAAACAACTATACAGTCTATCTAAGTCATATAAACAGCTAAAACAAGAAGGAGTTGTATGTTATATTACCAAATCTTTCATGCATCCATTATCTATCAAAGGCCAATCAGAAGAAGAGATGGGACAGAAATTGGACATGGTTGTCCCTCACTTATTTGGTGACCACAATTTGTGTTCAACCAGCTGATGTGCATACCACAAGAATCCATCAACTTACAGGTTAGAAATAGATTTTGATATATACATGCACATGCAGTTCTGAATGTATAATGTAGTCGCTTAAATATGCCATTTACCATAAGAATGAAATGCTTAATAGTACACATAACAATTAAATTTAGAATGTATGTTAATTAATACATGTATATGGAATAATGTCAAAGAAGCATAGAAACTGATTAATAGATTTGATTAATTTGAAATTTGAATATAATTATTCCTTTACTTGAAATAGTGTCCCTGATTTTTTGCCACAGAATGAAATATCTGCTAGATAGGAAACCTCTTATGGATGACTCATTGAGGAATGCCCTTAACAACATTACTTCAAGCTTAAAGAGAATACTTCCTCAACTTGTGCATCTCGGTTCTACTCAGAGCAGTGAAAACTTTAACAATATGGTTGCCTGTAAAGCACCAAAAAAACCGGTGAGAAATAGTACATTCAGCTGTATGCTTAAAATCTGAAACATGTTCATGTGGAAATCTTTTGTTTATTTGTCTGTCTATCTCAGTTTAACACATATTCAAATTGTCAAATTAATTTGTAAACACCATATCTAAGAGGGGATCCCTAGGGCCTTCATCTCTCCCCCTCAACCACCACCATAAACAACAAAAGAAGTTAGGCATGAAGGACCATATTGTTTGTCAAGTCATATGCTAAGATGATTTTTGTGGCCCATGAGTTTCTGTTTTGTCTTTTCAAACAACTTGTACTAATTACATTATAGTCCTCATAGTTGAGTACTGAAATACACCTTGACATCTATAATATTTTTAGCATTTAAGGTGCAGGCAGAATAATTTCAATTTAGTGTGCATTATACAATGATTATTAGGATTTCAAATTAGCAGTAACATTTATCTTAAATTTTAGTGCATATGGGAGTACAAAGTCATTAGCTCCTCGAATGTCAGCTGCTGTTTTACAGAAGAATGAAGGATATACGTATATCAATAAGGTAAAAAAAATATGTAAAAGTACATAAATTAACCAGTAATATATGAGCATGAAGAGTACAGCTTTATATATACTTCATAAATACATGTGCCAATGATATTCATGAATAATAATTACATGTACAAGTATGATAATGTTCATTTTAGAATTCTTATATTTAATATATGCTTTACATTAGGTTAATGAGGATGCTCTTCTCTCACCTGGGGTAATGTCAAAGGTGCATGGCATAAGAATAGACAAGAAGAGACTTTGGAGCAAGAGAAGATGGTCAACAATAGCTTTCAAAAGGAGACGACTTCTCCTTAAGGTTAATTACCTTATTATTTGAAATAAATATGTAGTTCCAAAGTTCATGACAAAATACCGGGTTATTACATGTATTAGTTATGTGGTTGCCCATACAGAGTAGATAACCACTTTGGCTATATTAGGTTACAGTAAAAGAATCAAGATTTAACTAGTACATGTATAAGGAAATATAAAAATATCTGCTCCAAATCTTGAAAACCCATTGCTTTACAATTAAGAATTATGAAGATTCTTTTCAATTTTGGCATAGGGTATATTTCTCAAAACCTTTTTAATCCAGAAAAGAAAGCAAAAGAGAGAGTATTCCTTACAGTTGCGAGAAGGACAAACATATGAAAACAACATAGAGTCTGCTGCAGAAGTTGACATTGAAAGCATTCCAGGTACTAGAGAAACTTTCAAAACAAGATACAATGTAACCTTACAGTATGTACCATATTTTATGAACCCCTTCAAAAAAGTAATATTGATTTGACCTGTTAGTCAGTTGATAGACCATGCAATGAAATGTTTTCCAATCAATATCGTGAGAACCCTTTGCTAGACAATATTATCTTGTTTCGAGCAACATATCTCAATATCTCAGTTTATTTTGTTTAATTAATATATATAATTACATTGTATAATTACATAAATATACTCAAATGACTGATAAGACCCCAAAGCCTCCTTTGTAAGATACCCACTCTACTTTATTTTTTTTTTACTCACTTATCTCCCCTTTTCAAGAACATGTAGCTGTTCATAAACGGAAGTGAGGTAATTTGCATCGGGATCTTTGAATGCTGCCCTGATTTATACATATGATCTTTGTGAGGGTATGCTCCACTGTGTGGTGCTTTTGTTTTTCTTTTATTGCACAAATTTAACTTAAGCAGTTTTGTTCCAAGTAAACTTGATCCCAAGGAAGGAGAAGTTGTAGAGTTCGATATAGAAACAACTGGTTTGGGTCGTGACAGTGACCTTGTGCAGCTGTCTGCTTCCGATGGTGACAGCGAATTTAATGTTTACATTCAGCCAAATCAGCCAATTAGCAAGAATGCTACAGCAATATCTGGAATAACATATTCATTTGAGAAAAACACTGTTTATTATAACGGCAAAGAGGTGGAATCTAAGAGTTTGAGATCAAGCTTAGTGAAATTCATTGAATATCTGCAAAGACATGATAACCCGATATTAGTTGGCCACAACATTATGTCATATGACATACCTGTTCTTAGCAACAAATAACATGAGTGCAACATGCTCTCTGAATTCATTTTACATGTTTATGCATGTGTGGACACTCTCAAAATTGCATGGAAGATGTTCAGGAAAGAAGACGTAGGGAACTACAAGCAGTCAACCCTGGTTAATAGTTTACTGGGCAAGAGTTATGCTGCTCATAATTCTCTAGAAGATGTGAAAATCCTGCATGAATTATTTGTTTCAAAGATGAACTATTCTTCTGAAGATCTATTTCCATTCCTTATTCACAGCCTTCAAAAGTCATTAAACCTCTGGTGGAAGAGAAGGCCATGTCGTCTTTGATGTCCAGAAAGATTGCAGCAGCTGGACTTTGATTGAAGCACATTTGTTTGGCATATAAGAGGGACAAACTGTGTGGTGTGAAAACTTTATTAGGAGAGCATGGTGTAAAGGGAAAAGTTGTGTCATAAGTTTTGGCGTATCTGAACGAGCATGAAGAGTGATGATCGAAATGTGCTGATCATGTTGCTTGCAAATTAACTTAATTTTGACCTAAAGAGTAAAGTTATAAATAAATATTTTTTCCGTCAGTTTTCCAAATTTAGATATTTCTTTCTTCAATTTTCTTAAAAGTGTTATGTTGGATGCAGTAATTAGTCATTTCATTAGTGAATTATTTTAAGGATTTATCTAGATATTTAATTTGACTACCCTTTTCGTGTAAAGATGTAAAGAATGAAAATGAGAGTGATTGCTCCACTTTAGCACTTGATGTGAATATACAATGGGAGTCCTAGGACATGTTCCATTTGTTAGTTATTTTCTCATTGAATTTACCATATGAGTGTAATATTGTATAAGGTAATTCCACCACTCCATATGTATTTGTTTTTTTTCAATTTTCTTCAGATAATTTATCTTGTTTGACACGTTTGATTTGGTCATTTTATCAATGTCGGTGTTTTTGTCAGTGTTTTGGGGGGCAATAATTGGCCTCTCCATAGGTAAATAATTATTTATTTTGACTATCTTGTTATATTTACCTTGTCAGTACATGTATTCTGTAAAATGTGGTTAGTGGCCATAATTGGCTTCTCCATTTTCAATTTCCTAGTATATAATTTCCTTGTGAGTATTATGTCAGATACAGGCCACTGGATTTATAAATAATTTGTTTTTCTGAATTTTCATGTTTAGCTTAGGTTTTGAGTGTAGGTTCAGATGTGTACTAGTAATTGGCAACTCAATATATAAATAATTCTTTTATCAATAATCTTGTATATTTACCATGCAAGACATGTTTTATCAGATGCAGTAATTGGCCCTCTACATGTAAATATATTTTTTTAAATTTTCTGATGTAATTTACTTTGTGTGATTGTAATGTATGATAAAGTAATTGGTTCCATATGTACATAATTTTTATTATACCCCCGCTCCGTCTATCTAGCTGTGTGTCTGTCCATAATAAATTTGGTCGCAGTTTTCTCTGCAACTATTCTTCACAGGTGCTTGAAATTTAGCAAACTGTTTGTTTAGGCATGTCATATGGTGGTATTCACTTTTGTACGAATCCGATGTCAACTTCCTTTTTATCCCTTCGTCTGTCCATAGCATAGATAACAAATTTTGGTTGCAGTTTTCTTAGCAACTACTAATCGCAGATGCTTGAAATTTTAGCACATTTTTTGATTAGGCATGCCATATGGTGGTATTCAATTTTGTAGGAATTTGATGTCAACTTCCTGTTTATTCGTGCATCTGTCTATAACTGAACTTGTGTATTAACATCAGAGTGGGGGTATTATTAGTGAGCAGACTTCTTGTTTTTTCAATTTTCTTGTATAATTTACCTTGTGAGTGTAATGTATGATGCAGTTGTTGGCTTCACCGTATTTTTTTTTTATTTCAATTTTCTTGTATGATTTACCATGAGAGTTTTTGCGGTATAAATTTCCATCTCTGTCTGTATGTCTTTAACTTTTCACATTTTTTACTCATATAGATTCTAAATTGTTTCAATAATGACCCCCTATAAAATATCCATCTCAAGAACAATAAGTGCCTTAAATTCTAATGATTCAATGAATTAATAAGAAAGCATCTTTAAATAGTTCAAATTCTAAACTGTTTACATAGAGGCCCCTAGGGACAAGTTTGGGTCACTAAAGAGGTCCAAAGGATTTTTTTAAATAGATATTGCAGATACAAGGTATATGAAATACAAACCGATATATATATATATATATATATATATATATATATATATATATATATATATATATATATATATATATATATATATATATATATATATATATATTGCAGGCACAAGTTCTTTGAAGAAAAAAAATTCTACGCACTAATTGTGTTCAATTGCCCCCCCCCCCCCTTTCCACTCCTCAGTGTAGTGGCCACAATAAGAACATGACTCTCAGGTGAGCAATGTGGCCCATGGACCTCTGGTATAGTATATATATATTTATTATGTATTGATATAATAACAGAATAAATGTTTTAAAGATGGGAGAATAAAATGTGCATGTTGTTATTTTTGTGTAAATGTTATTTTTTCATTCTACTCTCAATTTCCTGCATATAAAATTAGCAATGACCACAAGATTTTCAGATAAAATTGAATTTATTATTCTATACATATTGTTTTTATTATTTTTTATTTGATTATACATATTTATGGTTAAGCAACAAACTATAAGTCACTTATATTAATAAGTACAACATATATTAATTTTTAGAAAAATTCATTGGGCAGTTTTTTTTCAAGAGGGTAAAATCTGCTCTTGGGGTGAGAAAATTATTGCAAAGAAGAAGGTACGTTATGTACCAAATCCGCCCTGTCCCAAAATCTGATGATGATTTTTTTGAAACATGTCTAAGATGTCATCTTTTTAATTTAGCTTAATTTTTTTAATTATCACAAATCAATTTTCCTACAAAGCTATCTGAATATAGATAGTTTCTTTTGTAAAATAACACTATGACGTCAACCTAACGACGCTACGCAAATACGAGAGTTGTTGGAAAGTTCGTTATATTTCAAGAAATATTAGAAAAAAACACATTTTCTTATATAAAAATATTTATTTTGTTGATGTGTGAAGTTTCATTCCATTCGACTTAACAGAAATCAATTTACTTAATTTCAAAATCAACATGTTTGGTAACCTCGGAGCTACATTATTACGTCAAAAACATTGCGTCATGGTTTTGAAGAAAAAAAAAATCCCCCTTTATATTTCACACAGTTTGATCCAATAGCCACTTACTAAAAACCTTTCTCTATCAATTTTAATTTAATTTGCTAACAATCGTACCAGTAGCATAATTTTGTTTGTCCATGTTTATTTTTTTTTTACCTCGTAACTGTGCATTTATAAGATCAGCAACTGTGAAGCGCCTTTCACTTTCCATGACTTTACCAACTCAAAAGTTTCTGTTAAGATTTCTACTGATAATCCATTTTCTCACAGACCGCCCTTGTCTGATACAGAGTTTAATCATTCGAACACGGCCTCTATCATTTATACACATATGCACAAATCGCTTTTGACATTTGCTCCCTACAATTTTTTCAGAGCTAATTCTGAAAATTTCCAGAGTACAACATAAAATTTTGTTATACCTTTAAAAAATTGGTTTCTATATAAATGTATACACATTTCCAATGTTGTACTGAGCGGTCATTAAAAAATCTATGTTTGGCTGCAAGTAAGATATTTGACCTGTCGATGAGAAATTGGACCGCTTACGTCAAAATTGTGGGCTGGATCAGCTAAATCTCATTTGCATTCGTTGGTGTTCGACATTGACGAAATTGACCAAGTTTAACCGCAGTGTGATATAAGTAAATTTACATAAGGGAAGCCAGCACAAGATACAAAGGTATAACAAAACATTTATTGACTATGCCAATGTTCTCGGGCAAAATACGTTTTGTCGACCCATCGATCGGTTAAATAATGGCCGCAGACGAACAGTTTGGTTTTTGGGTCTGACAATAAACGTACAAATGAGAGATTAATATGATTTTAAAACAAGAGAGAGAAAGAGAGAGATTATTCTAATTCAAGCAAGATTTTTATTTTTAAAAGCTAGACAATATTTCTTACGCGAATTACTTGGGTTTTTTTTAAGATTGCATTAAAACTTTTAACACTATTTTATAGAATGTCAGATTCCCTATAAAATTGTATGAGAAAGTATTAAAGATAAGATATTTTCGAAAAGTATTTGAGATTTTAATTAATAGATAACATTGAAAGGGCAAATTCCCCAGCCCATCCTTTCTAACGAGTCGCAGCGTCATTCATGAATTCATCTACAAAAAAAAGTGTTTAAAACGTTTCTGTCCTGTCATCTGAAAAAGTCCCCCCCCCCCCAAAAAAAAAAAACTGAAATAGTACTGTCATTCGATTAATAATTCTATATGTCACTGGATGGCCCTTCTCAAATGCACGGATCAAGTACCCCCCCCCCCTCCCCTTTACAAGCTGGTAGAGATGCAGCACTTCTCTTGGATGGTTGGCATAGGCCAATCGCATTTTCTTCAACCAATTGGGGCTCTTTTCACCAACTAAGTATAACTTTTCAAAAAAAAAAATAATGATAAATAAATAAAATAAATAAATAAATAAAATAAAAATAAACATGTATAAGCATTTACGATCTTTTTTAAAATACGTACTTATAATTATAGATAAATACAGTAGCTTGAACGTCCAACTTTGTTGCTTGAAGTTTCGCTCAATATGAGAGCCTATCTTTAAGTAAGTATTGTAAGCCTTCGATACCAAACCTATGGAGAGAAAGATCATAAGCCTTTATGCCTGCTTTTCAATCCATTTCATGTAGAGCGCTCACTCCGTGATCGGAAGGTCGTGTGTTCGAATCACGGCCGCGAACGACCTAAGTCGAAAAAAAAAGGTAGCAACTGTTCCTTCGTCAAGCGCTCGGTACCTTGAAGTGAAAGTTGCGGGTCTTTCGGTTAGACCTTAAAAACCGAGGTCCCTTGTCACGGTAGGTTCAAAATTTTTCACGCGTTTTTTTTTCACAACCGATCCCCCC